CCCCCCCCTCTCTCCCCCTCCAACAGGGCATTGAGCTTTCAAATCCTCAAGCACTTGCAAACCAGCTGGCTAGTGGAACTCAAAGTACCTATTTCTCGGAAACTGGTACATTTTCAAAGATCAAGAGAACTTGAAGCTCTTAGAGAAGTGAGCATGATTCAAGTTCATGTTATATTTGTGTCGTTATCTTCATTGGTTAAATCTTCAGATATTCTGGGTGACGGGAGTTGATTTCTTGTATATGTTATCCAATCTTCGAGGGTATCTGAATTTTTTTGTTCATCCCTATGTACAACAATAAAACCCATAAATGCAAGCTTGATAAGATAGTTTTAAAAAAAAAAAAATATATATATGAATAGTATTTGTAAAAGGAAAACTTCAATGCGTTAAATTATAACTATAACGGTGCATTGCTGTATAAATTGGTGCGAGTTTTTTTATTAGTTAGCGATCAACTATTTTATTATTATCATCATTTTTTGGATAATACTTGTGTGTTGAATATTTTAATTTAGCGTAAATAAATTGATTACTTGATTGGATATCCGTTATTAGCAGTTGAGGTTTATGCCAGGGAATAAGTCTTTGATTGGACCATGAATGACGAGATTATATAAATTAAAATCTATCTTATAAGTGGCAAAATATTGCTTTATTTACTCTCTCTCTCTGTTTATTGAACTAGAGTTCTTATTACTTTCTGACTTTGAAATTGCATTTTCACTGACTCTACCGTGGTTTTTTCATTATTTTTTGGTCCCATTATTTAAAATTTTAATGGGTGGAATAATATTTTTTTGAAGAATGTGTGGTTGAAAAAGAAGGAAATTTTTTTGATTTATGTGTAATATTATTTTATGAAAGATTGTATAGTTGAAAATAGAAGCGAAAAAAATAAAATTTAATTTAAAGGGGTGCTTAATTGATTCCTCTCTTTTTAACTTGTATTTAATAAATCTCACTCACAGAATTTGCAGTTTCGTTGGCTCAATCTAGATTCTTAAAATTGGTTTGGCTTGAGATCTAGTCTTCGTTTGGCCCCCATTTTGTATGAAAATTAATGGGTGGAATGGTACTTTTTTTTTTTTTTTTTTTTTTTTTTTTTATATAAATGAGGGTTGAAAAAAAAGGAAATTTATTTGGTTTACATGTATTATTATTTTATGAAAGATTGTGTGGTTGAAAATAAGAGAAAAATAAAATGTAATGGAATGAAAATTAATGGGGCCAAACGGGGGCCTAATAAATCGAGCTGATCCTTCATGCTTGTATTAGGGCGTAATTTTAAGCCAGAAAAGTTGAATTATTTATCCCTTGGTCTGTTATTGAACCATTACTCTGAAAGATATTTCACTCTTAGGGATGTAATTTAAGTCCTTGTCTGTCGTAGTGGAAAAGTTGGGAAAAAAATCGAAAAATGATAATCATGCATGTATTTATTTGAGTTATTTTTTAGTGCCAAAATGTAAGAAAACATGCATTCACACATTCTATGGAAGAAAGTAAGGGTTGAAAAACAAATAAAAATTCTCAACTTGAAATTCAGAATCTTCACTCGTGTTAGGAAGCTTTTTGATTTAGGATATCCTTCTAATTCACTTACGAATTTGAAAATTTATCAACTCATAGTCCAAAAACTTGACAAAAGTATTAAAAAATAGTAATCTTTTGTTGAGAATTTTGAAATAATTTAAGTGACAACAAAGGTGAGAAAAACAATCACGTCAAGTAGAGATTCGATTGGCTCAAAGGGATAGTTGCTTCTCCATTCTAACTTAGTCGACGAGCAATCTCGGTTGGCCTATCCTGCCTTCCGCGGACCATCAGTGATGGCTAGCATTGCGATAGGATCACGATGATCATGATTCGTAGCATGTCAAATCACTGATAAAGTTCTTCGCTTCGCATTAAATTAAATTACATGCCTCGGTGCTTTTGTGGGTCCTCGTCAATTCCTTTGAGTGTGGGTCCTTGTCAATTCCTTTGAACGTCGACCAGCTCATTGTGATACCATGTTGAATTTTATGGTTGATAGGTTTTGAATGAATTTCTTCAATAGCGCTGCACATACTTATACGCACAATAGGATTACCAGTGCCACTTCAAAAATTCAAAAGAAAAGATAGACAATGATGCGAAATATCTACTACCTAAATATAGGGAACTAATTGAGAAGATCTTTGGTAGGTGTTTTCTCTAAGATTATAGAACAGTTTGTTTGAACCAAGTTTGACTTTTTCTTCAACCGATTCTTCAGCCGGCAGATGAAACTGTTGATAGATTATGTACAATCTATGCTTGAATCAAAGCTAGTCAATCCTAAATTTATTGAAAAAAAAAAGTTTAGCTATTAACTTGTTACAATTGAGTGTTGCGTAGTCTTCATGTGAAAGTTTGGTTCTTGTGGTCTCTTTTATGTGTTCTTCAGCTTCATCCACCATTGTTTGCATGGGAATTTCTCATTAAGGTTGAACATTTAACATCCCACAGTTCGTATAGATCAATTAATCCCGTTCATCTATGTTATACGAGCATTCGATTGATGATCAATGAATTCTACCAATGGCAGACGCAGACACTTTGAATTAGGGGGCACCATTAAACTTGCAAAAAAAAAAAAAAAAAAAAGAAAAAATTTAAAAATTTTTTATATTATTATAAATAAAAAAAAAAAAAAAAAAAAAAGTGAAAAATTTAAAGCATTTGATATATTATTACAATTATTCTTTACGCGTTCTCATATTTTGATAACATTCCGTAATTATATCTATCATCTACAACTTTCAAATATGCTTAAGGGTGTGTTTGAGCTCCATTATTTGACATTATAATGAGATGAATAATATTTTTTTTTTAAAAATGAGTAGTTGAAATTTTTTTGATTTACGTGTAATATTATTTTATTGAAGATTGTGTGGTTAAAAGTAGGAGAGCGAAAAAATTAATTTAATGTAATGAGAAATAATGAGACTCAATTAATGTTGTTCTTTCCCATTAGACTTGTTTGTTTGTTTTCCCGAGTTTACTCCCACTTTCTTAGTTTTTTTTCTCCATATGGTTCGTTTCAATTGCTTTTTGTTGCAGCCTAAAATTGATGTATTTTCATTTTCTACTCTTCCTAAAATAACTCATCTTTCTCTTACATTCCCAAATCAAATAGCTGCCTTTTTAAATTGATAGCCAACAGTTCATCGAGAATCTTATGATCCACTATGTACATAGTCTTCAAATATAGGGCTTGTTTTGTCGACATAGTGTCCGAAATCGTTTCAAAAATCTCTATGAATTCTACTCTGTCTTGGGAACAATACTAACACCTTCATTTGTTGATGTCATTAACCACAATTCATCCCTCTAAAATTAGGAAGTTGTGGTTGCAACATATTGTTTGGTGTCATCTCTAACAATTCTTAATCGAAGCTCTAAGGCCATTTCGTAGAAAACATATGGGCACACTTACAAAAACACTCCAAGAGATAAGTTTATTCTCTTGATCAAATTAGTTTTTATTTAGGATACTCTCTTACATTTGCTTCAACCTTTATTGAGTATATCATGTATAAAGTGAAAGAGGGAAATTAATAAAATATCATGCCTTAAGAATAAAAAATCCAATTTTCAGAAAATTGGTGGGTCACGTGACACACCTTGGGTCCGCCCATGACTACTACGTACTCTTCTAAGGGTGGCTGGCTAGACCTCACGAAGCCTGACTCGTCTACTTTGACACGGAGGGTTTGCATTTGATCACAAGGTATGGAAAAATTAATTGCATCAAACAAAAAACTTCAAATACAACTGTTAAGAGGGGAATTTCATTTTGGCATGTTTCTTGCCACATGGGTTGCCAGGCACAATAATTTTCTAGCATCATAAAATTTAAATGACAAGTGAAGTTCAAATAAAATGATATAATTAAAGTGAGAATTTGTTACTGTATTCAAATGAACCGACACTACTAATAGGTCTTCAAAGCTTCAAGTTCAATCTTTAATCGTAAATTTATTTTTAATTTTACAATGTTTCACTTGGGCTATTATATGAAATTTGTTCTACTGTCAATATAATAATTTACGAAACAATCGTGCTATATGTACATCATATTTGACATCATTATTTACATTGTCCCACCTGACAATACACCATTCGCCAGTATAAAATGCTGCTTTCCCGCCCATAATTTTTTGAGAACACAAAGAATGTTAAAAAAAAAAAAAATGGAAATCATGAAACGTGTACTTAGCATTATTCTTTAATAAATATGTATACTAACACATGTACACGTGTCTTACATTATCCTTCTTGCATTAATTGCTTGTCTAGGCTATAAAACTCTAAAACAGCTGTGCTACCTGCACAGACTCTTTTGCACAGAGCTTGTACAGGTGCACACATATAAGGATGGACCCCATGTGTGAGGTCCACCTCCATATGAGCGCCTCTATACCTATATATATATATATATATATTTATTTATTTATTTATTTATTTTCTTTTTTCCCCCATTAAGATCTCATAAACAAATTGGGGGAATTTATTTTTATCAAAATGGTGTAAAGTAGATTAGATCGTACTATCTCTTTACTTTGTTGTGTATGAACATAATTGATAATAAGATTCACATTTTTCTATTAGAACATACGAAACTAATATGATTGGATTGTTGGAATAATTAATAATTTCATATATGGGCTTCACATTCGATTGCAAAATTTTACGGGTTAGATATATGGCTCATAATGATAATTGTATTTGGGCCAAATTTATTAAGTGATCAATTGGGCTTTTTACACCTTACGGGTTGTAATTAATTTGATGTGGTAATTTAAAGTATGTGGGTCGGAAATAAACCCAAATTAGAATTCTAGCCGTAATGGGACGGCTCAAATTATTTCCTATATATAAAGGATAGGTTCCCTCTCCTCTCCATATGTTTTTCATTAGCTTGCCCCATTGATAGCTAATACTTTTGTGAGGAGTAAGGAGAGGAAGATCTTGTCTACTATTATAACTATAATTCATATCAACAATGGCTTCCGCAAGTATGAAATTCGTTTCTATTAAATTTATTGAATTGTGATTATCGATTCTTAGCATGATTATAAATAAATATTAACAATTGGTATCAGAGCTTCATGTTAAAATCGAAATCCTTCATAAAATTCATTTTTTATATATATCACGTAAAAAGTATGTGCATATATATTTGTTTTGAATGCTGTAAAAAAAAAAAATAAAAAAAAAAAATAAATAAAAAAAAAAAAAAAAAAAAATTA